TCCATATCTTTTCACATAATGCATGATAGATTTTTATGCTTTCTTCTCCTCCCGCTTTAATCAATTCAGCTGGTATCTCATCACATCCAGGTGATTTACCATTTTTCAGGCTCCTTATTGCCCATGAAGTTTCAGGTTCTGCCTCTACTGTTACTGGTTCATGTATATCATTCATATCCTCACTGTCATTCATATCATACATTCCGCTGCAGTATTCCTGCCATCTTCCTAGAATTTGTCTAGATTCTGTTAAAGTATTTCCCAACCTGTCACAAATAACATTTAACTGAGGTTGAAAATTTCTTGTCAATAACACCCCAATCCAGGAAGGGAAAACCCCAGAAGGACCATAACTCTATTGTTAAACAGCTCTTCTCCATTAAAAAGCAAGTTTATCTGTGTTGTTGCAGTCGTGGCTCTCCTAGCTACTCCTGAAGATTTGAAAACAAACACAGTATTGGCCGGTATCTCATCAGATGTTGCTATTTTGTGTATGTTTTACACACATGAGTTGTATGTAGACATATTGTATGTGATGTACAATCGTTTTTAGTTTATTGTGTTATATAAAAGACTTTGATATCGCCCGTCGTCTGCTGACACAGGCAGTAAAGTGTAAAGCAGGCGAACAGATGGATGGTACTTCAACTTCAAGTTTATGACTTCGTCCAGCAAATCGTTTTGATGTAGTGGTTGGCCCAGGGCAGGACATTATCGGGTTTGTACTTGTCAGTAATTATTAGTGTTAATAGTTTTGTTAGAATATACACCTTATTTAAGAAGCATCTGGGTACTCCTGTCAAATCCTGACGAAGACTAAAAAGCCTTGGACGACTTAGTCAGAGTTCTCTCCCTTGGCCGCACTGCAAACAGTGATCGGAAAAGCCAACGAAACAAAGACGACAGTCACGTCGACATCAGGGCTGCCAATGCTTGGTTGTTTCCCCCAGATCTGTTTTTTTTTTCGACGCTGCAGGACAATTCTGTTTTTTTTTTTTTGGGTGTGTTTTGTTTGTTGGTTTTTGCCTATTTGTATGCTTTAATGATCGATAAATTTGCGTGGTTAGGGGTAGGGGTTAGGGAGTAGGATTAGGAGTAGGGTTAGGTTTAGCGTTAGATTTGACAATTTTGACGCCGGAGTTCCCTATAATCGCGCACAGTCCCATACACACACAAACAATCGAGGGCCTCTGGATGCTGGTCAAACGCACAATTCGGCAACGATTGGGGGCACCAGCCGCACGCTATTGGCGTCATATTTGGCAGAGCTTCAGTGGCGCCACTCCCACAAACATCAAATTGTCGGCCAGTATTTCGAAATCCTACGTCAAAATTTTCACATCTAACCCTACCCCTAACCCTAACCCTAAACCTACCCCTAACTCTAAACCCTAACCCTAACCCTACCCCTAACTCTAAACCCTAACCCTACCCCTAACTCTACACCCTAACCCTACTCCTAACCCTACCCCTAACTCTAAACCCTAACCCTACCCCTAACTCTAAACCCTAACCCTACCCCTAACTCTAACCCTACCCCTAACTCAAACCCAAACACTACGCATCCCTACACGCAACCGTATGATGACTACGCAACCCTTCATGATGCCTCACGCAACCGTACGCAACCCTGCACGCAACCGTATGATCACTACGCAACCCTTAACGATGCCTCACGCAACCCTACACGCAACCGTATGATGATAGGTAAGTGTGTCGTTTGTTTCGTTGGCTTTTCCGATCACTGTTTGCTGTGCGGCCAAGGGAGAGAACTCTGACTAAGTCGTCCAAGGCTTTTTATTCTTCGTCCGGATTTGACAGGAGAGCCAGCATCTGTTACAGTATGATAGAATGGCCGTTTCTTAGTCGGCTTGCTCTGCATCCACGATATTGGCAAAAATGTAAACGTCGACCCGGCAGCCGCAAAAACACCCTTAAAAAATACCCTGCAGCTTTGCTCGTGAGTCCCAGCCATCTAGTTTAGCTCCAATCCACGCCGCGCGTAGCGGCATGGGAGATACTCTCGGCGGTGGTGGTAGTCGCCGAAAGTCTACAAATTAAGTCAGCGGAAGTCCGCACTTTACTTTACATGTGAATGAGGCCCTGTTTTTGGCTGCCATAATATGTGCCCATTATTCAGAAAATAGCCGGCAACTCCAAGGGGCGCAATCTATTGTTAGCTTACGATGACCATGGGGACACAATCCATTGTTTGTTTACATTAACTTAATAATGTTCTGTAAAATTTAATATTGGTTTGGATTAGGGTTAGAGTAAGAGCTAACCTTAACCTAATCTCAAACAACATTAAAGAATATTATTTTGTGAACTTATACAACCAATGGATTACAACCCCTAGGGTTCGTATTTAAAGTATTAGCAACTTACAGTAGATTACATTCCTTAGTGTTACTGTGTACAGTTATGCCGATATTATCTTGACTACTATAATATAACTAATTTATTACTGTTGTATTCAAATATGAAATTATTCGGCTATCTTCCGAATAAAGGTCCCAAATTATTGAGGCCGAAAATATACCCTAACAGGGCCTCAGTCACATGTCAATTACGGACTTCCGGCGACTTAAATTGCGCCATTTGTGGAACACCTGACAGGTGAATATCTGCTCTTCATTTATAGAGAGAGAGAAGAGGGAGACATGTAGAATCGAATCCTCTGTAAATTAACAAGCCTATGACTACTGTTGCAGCCATGGTGGCATACTATGAGGACCTCAGCTTGCTGGCTTGATTATCTTGAGTTCATATTCATAACTGAGGCAGATTAATGTTTCAAAACTGAGCTTGGTTTACATGTTGACCCAACGTAAAATGGTTACCAGGAGATGTCCTGGCAACTAAAGACTGTTGGTTTGATGCTGAGCACATTACCCATCCGGTGCCAGTTGATCTGAAAAATATACTCTGGCATTATTACCTGATGCCCAACTGGTCTAGAAAGGGTCCTTAACTTTACATACTTTTTAATTTTCAACATCCATGTATGGGTTCAAGAGTCTCATTGTGGATTCAAGGGTCTCATTGTGGGTTCTAAGGTCCCATTGTGGGTTTGAGGGTCCTTTTGTGGGTTCAGTGGTCCCACTGTGGTAAAAGAAGAAGATTAGTGCACTGATCTGTCCCTGTGACAGCTTATGGTGTGAGTTATGGACTTTTGAGCTTTTGGCCAGAAATGCTACAGAAAATTTCTTAGAATACCATGGATCAAAAAGAAAATGGAAAAAAACAACACCCTACATGATCTGAGCATCGAGGAGAATTGGCTCATAAACAGCATCCTGTCCAGAAAGTTGTCCATGCTAAACCTCAAGGTGGCCTGGTGGGAACGATTATGGAGGTTACAGTTTATGGACAACAAGGCAGAGCTGGACCTGTGAAGGTGGATGCAACACGTTAACTATGTACAGGCTGTGAAAGCACATAGGGCTAGAGAAAGAAAGACTTTCAGGCGTGCTGTGACAAGAGCAGTGTTCTGTGGGGGAAACAAAAGCTGACAGCTGAAGGCACTGATAAGGGACTATACTAACTACTTCACTATCACACTTCCTATGTTTGTTTTCTGTCTGCATTTGTTTCTGTTATTCATGTCTGTCTTTTAACTTTTTCAGTTCGGACAGTTGTTGCCTGAATATCTTTCTATCCTTCACTGTGTCTCCTTAAGAACTAGTTGAAAAAAATATGACGGTAGGACAATACAAGTTAAAACTACTAACTTGAATAAAATGGGTTAAATGCATGAATAAAAAATAAATTGCCATCATTGCATTCAAGGCATTCCTAATCATGCTCTGTCCCCATTCTCAGTATGGAATTAAGCTGCATCCTGGTTAAAAGTCTGCCTGCCTTTCTCCCCGCTCGCTGTTCGCCAAGTCTGCCTACGTTCCGCTAAATCAGGCTTTTTTAAGGTATAGATACTATGTCTATTCCATTGCACTATCTGCTTGATCCCAATGAACCTTCATAAAAAAGATTACATTTGAATAATATAACAACAATAATTAGACAGAAGTTAACTCTTTCAGGACCACATTTTTTCTGGGGTTTGGACAGCAATAATTAACAGCTGAATTGTTTTTTTACTGCAACACGACCAAGCTAAAACCTTCTGAAAGAAAAAGTGTTGGCTGTGTCAGGACATTTAATGTATTAAATTAAAGATAAATGAGTGCAGAATAAATCTAAACTATTTAAATATCAGTATTACAACAGAATATTATAAAAATCACACAACATTCAAGGATGTTAGACACATGAAAATTATTGACATAAAAAATTGTGTGCTTACTTTACTTTTTTCACTTGTTCAGCAACACTGATATCCAATTCTAAGAATGCACATGCCTTCTCTGTTCATTTATGTATTAGCTAGTCTTTATTTGAAACAATTAATTTAAAGACTTTGGATGTTATAATCATTTTTGTATGACATGTCAAATTTCACGGGAAAACAGCTGATCGAAACATTGATCCGATTGAAATATTTTGTTCAATTTCCATATCCTAAACTAAATTATCGCCAATAGGTTTGTCACTTAGATAGCAATCATAATATCAAGGCTGTTATCACCATCTGGCAGAGATTTATCAACGACAGAGCAGTATGAACAGTTCTAGACTTTTTCCCTTCTCATTTATTATAGAGAAATCACGTAAAAATTGTATCCTATCTAAATAATTTTTTTAAATCAGTAAATAAAGCCCAGACCACGATGAACTTCACAAACGAAATGACTTTCTGTTGTTAATCCTAATTGTTCAAAAACCTGTTCATAAAAGTTTGTTTTCCCAACAAACGGAACAAAATTAGAGTGTCTCTTTCATACACCAATATACCGACAATACATCTTTAAAGAATTAAGAAATACATACAATATGCAGAGCAAGTAACACACTGTAAAATATACAAAGTGAGTCACTAGGTAGTCATAAAGTTAAGGTTGTGTTAATGTTTACATTTTTATTTTTTAGTGCTATCAAATATGGGAAATGTTGAAGGCCACAACCTTGCTCCTGTCCGGGCTGATGAAAGAAAGGCCTTAAATCTGAGCCACAAGGTTAATTTGAAGCAATATTTGAAGGTGTGTGTTTGGTCATCTGTTAGTCAAATTGTTAATTTAAAGCAATATTTGAAGGTGTGTGTTTGGTCATCTGTTAGTCAAATTGTTAATTTAAAGCAATATTTGAAGGTGTGTGTTTGGTCATCTGTTAGTCAAATTGTTAATTTAAAGCAATATTTGAAGGTGTGTGTTTGGTCATCTGTTAGTCAAATTATTAATTTAAAGCAATATTTGAAGGTGTGTGTTTGGTCATCTGTTAGTCAAATAGTTAATTTGAAGCAGTATTTGAAGGTGTGTGTTTGGTCATCTGTTAGTCAAATTGTTAATTTAAAGCAATATTTGAAGGTGTGTGTTTGGTCATCTGTTAGTCAAATAGTTAATTGTGTTTAGTCATTTATCAGTCAAAGAGTTACTTATTTTTAAAATGATGCATGTATAACTTCTCTTTCCTTGACTTCTTTTTCCTCAGCATCTGAATGGGGAAGTCAGCGAGAAGTGCCTTACAGAGTTGCCCTGGGACCTCATAGACTCCATATCACTGTATGAGAGTATGAATGCATCGTTCAATGCTTTGACAGAAATCCCAGCAGAGCTTCCTCTTCGTCTGCCTCACCTGAGTCACCTGGACCTCAGCTACAACCGACTGCACTCTCTTCCACTGAGTTTTGGACTCTTGTTTCACCTGAGGGAGGTGTGTCTTCAGCATAACAGCCTGTCAACACTTCCAGACAGTTTTCTCCATCTGGTCAAACTGGAGAAGGTACTCATTCTAGAGTTGAACTTTTTCAGAAGAGTGAATACACATCTTCTTTTTTTGTTATTAGCATTCAAAGTCTGTAAGCTCTACATAAAGTTCTGGTTGTATGTCCACTTACAGACATTGGTCTTAATACAGAATTTAGAGTTTTGCCTGCACATCTATTTTATAAAAGTGGCTTACTTATATGCAGACTGTTGGTTACTTGCCTGTCAGGCAGGTGCACTCTCACTTTAAATGAAACCTCCCTAATTGGTCACCTTATACGACTTCCGTTTTCAAAATGGCGGACAGCAGCTGTGTTTATTTTCGCTGGCTGTCAATTCTCTCAGATTGTTCTGTTTCATAATCATGGACTGCTATTTAATGCGCATTTCCAACGCAGGATATTATGTGTTTTTCGTGGGAACAGCGTGTATTGTGGTTGTGCTGTGTCGGGGCGGGATAATGACCGATAGTTTTGGCAGCCTCGACCACGCTGCCTTCGCAATGTTTTGATCGCGGCGGTCCACTTGGGAAGACAGAATCTCGTCAGCAGGGGACTGCAACTGTCTAGAGAGCAAACTCGATAAAAGCTGTCCCCAGAAACAGAATGTGTCAACCATAAATTTGGTGGGGAGGAATCGACACATACGGTTAACTCAATGGCCATGCGCAAATATTTATCCAATAGCGGTACCACCACGTTGGGTAACAATCAAGTGAAAGCGGGACTCGCTCTCACATCTCAAACAGGTTTACCCTTAGCCACCGCAACACCCAGTAGAACTGACAACTAAGCTTTGGGGAAACCTAAGAGACCTTGAAAAGACATCCCAGTTTATGACCCACAGTGGATTATGCGCATGACCAGAGATCGCTGAAGAAGAAGGTCACCTTATACAGCATGCTTGTTCAGAAGGCCGTCTATTACCCTCCCCTCTCCTTCCTTCCCCCAGGTGGGAAACTAGAACCTAGACTGTGAATGAATTAGTTTATTTGTTGCAGAAAATATATTTTTAAATTTTCTTATTGCTTTTTGTTCTGCTCCCTGATGATCCCCTTTTTCAAAGTGTTGCCCCGGAATAAACTTATTGCCTTGAATTCCTGAGGCTTTACCTCTAACATTAAAGGAAGCATCCCGATTAGTTACCCTCGAAGGGAACTTGTAACCAGCTAGCCACCACTGGAAAATAAATATGAATACTTTTTGCAAATGTTTGCATTGAAAACAATCACATATGGACATGTCCTGAGTACTGTTATGTTGGTGTAGGTTAAAAGATTTCCTTATTTAATAAAGAAATGATTTACTTGTGCAGGTTGATCTTTCACATAATCACCTCCAGCAGCTGCCAGAGGCCATCGGCAACATGGAATGTCTGGAGAGACTTAGTGTGGTGGCCAACCATCTGAGAAGTCTTCCATTGTCCCTGGGAGCTCCAGAATCCCATGTGGTTCTGCTGCTGGCACAGCAGGTGCGAGTCTGTTTTTTTTTTTTTTTTTTTCTTGTTTTGTGTGAACTTATTTAAATAGGTATTCTGCTGCTTCTTCTCCACACCGAACTCTTCCTCCATTACTGTCCTATCCTACTATCTTTCTTTCTTCTTTACCTTCTGCTGCTGCTGCTGCATAAATTAAAAGTTTTCTTCAATAAATATCCTGTCTGTGGCCGGGGAAGATCAGGGTGCATTAGCTGAAATCCTGACACCCTAATCTCTTTCAGGATTGTCTCCTTGAAACCGGCACAGATTTCTGCCATCATTTCCAGCATGGATGATGGAAGCACTTCAGGAAGGAGTCCTCTGTGGGAGTGAACTATAGCTGGCGGTGACATTTCATCTCTCAAAGCTCAAATTATGTCCCTTTCAACCATATTCTCTACAAGTAATGAACGAATAAATGTACAAACTTTACTCTCACAGATCACAAATTGATCGTGCAGGCCCATCTTACAATTGGCACTTCCAGACACTCTTATTTAGTACCAGATGGTACTTTATCAATAAAGTATATTATGTTCATATAACAATATATGTAATATGAATATCAAGTAAAATACACAAAAGTATGGATGGTAAATACATACATTCAAATATACATGCAAACATACAACACACACACACACTTTGTATCTCGCTCTCGTTCTTTCTCTTTCTCTTTTTCTTTCTCTCTTTCTTTCTCTCTCTCTCTCTCTCTCATTTTCTCTGTATGTTGGTCTCTCTCCCTGTCATGTGCATACTTATACCTACATACATACACACAAACTCACGCTTATGGGAATGCCCCGAGTGCTGTGATGTCGGTTCTTGAATCAAATCAAATTATAGTGCAAGATTTTGGCAACAAAAAAGTTGCTTGCCAGTTTGTACCACATTCGTTGTCTGATAACCAAATTATCAGCGGGTTGAGTACCCAAGAGACATCATCAAAACAAGAATTTTTGGCCCAAAACAAGTGTGTGTTCTCAGCCTTCCACCCTATTTCCCAGATCTGTCTCCCTGTAATTATTTTATATTTCAAAAATTGAAGTTACGATTGAAAGGACGCTTCTTGAATGATATTGATGACATCCATTCTGTCATTGATGACAGTTTATGTCTTCAACTGTTGATTATTTAAATTTATATGGAATTAGTCTCATTACTTAATTGTCGGACCTTGTATGTCCCTGCATATTGGCAGAGCATTTTGTCGCCAAAGGCCTGAAGTCTTGATCAGCAGCTATTTTGGTAGAAAAGTTGAATAGACAGAGCACTGCTTCTCTGATCCGGCCGCTTCTGCTGCATGCTTTATTCCAAACATATCGGTGTTACCTTTCCTTTGGAACAATCCATGCAGGCTTTAAAAAAGTTGGGGAGGGGGTGTCATGGTGGATGAGCAACTCTGCAATACTTCCCAGTCTTTATACACTGGAGAGGAGGAACTTCATCCATGGCCTTGATGACTTTTAGTAATGCGAGCTGGTATTGCCGGTTGTGCTTATCATCACCATGGACTGTGCTTACCATCACCATGGGCTGGGCTTACCTTCACCATGGACTGGGCTTACCATCACCACGGGCTAGGCTAACCATCACCACACGCTGGGCTAACCATCACCAAGGGCTGGGCTTACCATCACCACGGGCTGGGCTTACCATCACCATGGGCTGGGCTTACCATGCCTCCCAGTAGTACAGTATAAAATGTCACCTGGAAAGACAGAAAGGTACCACTAACATAAGTTGCAGATGGGTGTGATCGCTCACACAGTCTGACATTTCACTCAGTGATGATAATCATGTAATCGGGGGAGGGCTGAGTGGTCTTAGTGTGTGGCATCTGCCTCGAGTGCTGAAGATCCCAGGTTCAAACCCCAGTGAAGGCTGGGCTTTTTTCACGTGGACTTCTAGTAATTTTCCTTGGTCTCTGGGTAGTAAGACTGGACGCCAGTGTATGTTGTTGCACATGTAAAAAATATTTGAGCATTTGGAAATCAAAAAAAGAGTAGCCTAACGGCACTGCCCGGGCAAAATTTTGAGTTTAAAATCTACCCAAAGTATTACAGGATCCTCGCCGGTGCAAAAGAGTTCAGGCACTGCGCTGAGATTCTTTGGATTCAGGCTTAAGTTAAAAGTAGAATGGTGCACTTATGGGTTACACCTGTGTGGCATGATGTTGATGCTTTGAGTAAATATAAACATAAATAATGTAATTGTTATGTATATATTTAAATACCAGCAAATATTGTTACAAATCATTGTGCAGAATCACCTAGAAAGTCCACCACATTCTGTGTGTAAATACCAGCAAATATTGTTACAAATCTTTGTGCAGAATTGCCTAGAAAGTTCACCACATTCTGTGTGTAAATACCAGCAAATATTGTTACAAATCTTTGTGCAGAATCGCCTAGAATGTCCACCACAGGCTGTGTGTAAATACCAGTAAATATTGTTACAAATCTTTGTGCAGAATCAACTAGAAAGTCCACCACATTCTATGTGTAAATACCAGCAAATATTGTTACAAATCTTTGTGCAGAATCGCCTAGAAAGTCCACCACAGGCTGTGTGTGATGAGGGATCGTCTTCCACTCTTGAATACATCCGCAAACAGTACTTGGCCAGCAGCGGAGCATTCCCTGTCTGTCCGCAAGTTCCACTCAACAGTTTCCCTCGTTGCTGCGGCAACAAGTCAGAAGCTTCTGTCAACAACCCACACTCGGCACAAATTCAGTACATCCAGGAACAGACAAACACAGCCCACACCACCAACCGGGTGAAGGCCCCGCTGCTGCCGCCGCTGGACTCCACTACCCTGACACCTTTCCAGTTGAGAGATAGAATTATAGGTAAGAACAGATGAGTAGGAATACCATGAGCACCCTCCTGTTGTGTCGTTATACTTTCCCCGGGGCTCACAGATTACTCCTCCTTTCTTTTATATGCTGTGCAATCCTTGGCATCATGGCTGGGATCTAGTTGGCCACTTTCAGCTGATCTCAGCAACCTTTATTCCAGATTTTTTCTTGGACGTCCTCATTTCCTCAGTTTATTTTGTTTTTGAGTTCAGTTCCATTATGCAGACATGTATAGATGCATTCCCATATGTGCATATACAGATGTATACTTGTATGTTTGTTTTAGTATCCAGAAGCCATGAGTTGTTAACCCTTAGGCTCGGTATTATGGATATCGCAACCTTTCGGCCTTGATTCCATTTTAAATACCGTAAATCTGGGAGAAATGTGGCTTTTCTGCCCACCGGGAACGAACCCGGACCACAAGGAGTTTGTCACCCGCGCACCGCGCAAATCGGTTTAGCCAACTACGCTAGAGAGACTGGCATATACTTGTATGTATATATATATATATATATATATATATATATATATATATATATATATATATATATATATATGTAATTGTACATTTGTGTCTATGCATATGTGTTTATACATGTGTGCGGATGTGTATAGTGCACACCAGCCCTCTCCCCAGCAACCATCACCAGGTACTAGAGTACAGGTCCAAGCCACAAGTTTTGGCGCAGTTAACATTTCTTAGCCAATATAATTGCCACAATGAAACCAGATCACAATTATAACTGCTGCTGCTTGCAGTAGGTTGAACGTGGTTGAATTTTTAGTTTAGTTTTTTTATAAATGGAAGATGGAAGTTTCAGTTTGGTATTTTTCTGCTCAGTAATGATGTGCCCAGTAAATCCCCTCTGTCTTTGTCTTATCAATGTTTATACCAGATGTGATCTGAATATTTCTCTATTTTTTTTTTTCTTGTTTACCTTAGTTAGAATTATGATTAGGCTAGAATGGTTTAGATTATAATTTAGGTTACTTTAGTTAAACAAAATTAAAGTTAGGATTTCATTAGTTAGAATTCCAAGAAAAAATGCACTAGTCAGAATTATAATTAACAATATAATAGTTAGATTATAAGTAAGGCTGTAGTAGTTATAATTATTAAGGTTGGAGTACTTAAAATTTTAAATAATGCAGCAATGGTTACTGTTATACCTAAGGCTGAAATGGTTATAATTATAAATAACAGTGCAGCAGTAAGAATTACAATTAGAGCTGTGGAAAGTAAAATTGTTAATGCTATTGTAGTTAGAATTACAAATACGTTTTGCAATAGTAAACATTAAAGTTAAGGCTATGATACTTAAAAATATAAGTAACACTACAGTAGTAAGAATTACAATTAGGGCTGTGATAGTCTGGAATATAAGTAAGGCTACAGTAGTAAGAATTACAATTAGGGCTGTGATAGTCTGAAATATAAGTAAGGCTACAGTAGTAAGAATTACAATTACGGCTACAGTAGTAAGAATTACAATTAGGGCTGTGATAGTCTGAAATATAAGTACGGCTACAGTAGTAAGAATCACAATTAGGGCTGTGATGGTCTGAAATATAAGTATGGCTACAGTAGTAAGAATTACAATTAGGGCTGTGATGGTCTGAAATATAAGTATGGCTACAGTAGTAAGAATTATAATTAGGGCTGTAATAGTCTGAAATATAAGTATGGCTACAGTAGTAAGAATTACAATTACGGCTACAGTAGTAAGAATTACAATTACGGCTACAGTAGTAAGAATTACAATTACGGCTACAGTAGTAAGAATTACAATTACGGCTACAGTAGTAAGAATGACAATTAGGGCTGTGATGGTCTGAAATATAAGTACGGCTACAGTAGTAAGAATCACAATTAGGGCTGTGATAGTCTGAAATATAAGTACGGCTACAGTAGTAAGAATTACAATTAGGGCTGTGATAGTCTGAAATATAAGTACGGCTACAGTAGTAAGAATTACCATTAGGGCTGTGATAGTCTGAAATATAAGTACGGCTACAGTAGTAAGAATCACAATTAGGGCTGTGATAGTCTGAAATATAAGTACGGCTACAGTAGTAAGAATTACAATTAAGGCTACAGTAGTAAGAATCACAATTAGGGCTGTGATGGTCTGAAATAAAAGTACGGCTACAGTAGTAAAAATCACAATTAAGGCTGTGATGGTCTGAAATATAAGTATGGCTACAGTAGTAAAAATTACAATTACGGCTCCAGTAGTAAGAATCACAATTAGGGGTGTGGTAGTCTGAAATATAAGTACGGCTACAGTAGTAAGAATTACAATTAAGGCTACAGTAGTAAGAATTACAATTATGGCCATAATAATTTGAAATATAAGTACGGCTACAGTAGTAAGAATTACAATTAAGGCTACAGTAGTAAGAATTAAAATTATGGCCATGATAATTTGAAATATAAGTACAGCTACAGTAGTAAGAATTACAATTATGGCTACAGTAGTAAGAATTACAATTAGGGCTGTGATAGTCTGAAATATAAGTAAGGCTACAGTATTAAGAATTAAAATTAGGGCTGTGGTAGTAAGAATTACAATTGCGGCTACAGTAGTAAGAATTACAATTAGGGCTGTGATAGTCTGGAATATAAGTAAGGCTACAGTAGTAAGAATTACAATTATGGCTACACTAGTAAGAATCACAATTGGGGCTGTGGTAGTCTGAAATATTAGTACGGCTACAGTAGTAAGAATTACAATTAGGGCTGTGATGGTCTGAAATATAAGTATGGCTACAGTAGTAAGAATTACAATTAGGGCTGTAATAGTCTGAAATATAAGTAAGGCTACAGTAGTAAGAATTACAATTACGGCTACAGTAGTAAGAATTACTATTACGGCTACAGTAGTAAGAATTACAATTAGGGCTGTGATAGTCTGGAATATAAGTAAGGCTACAGTAGTAAGAATTACAATTACCGCTACAGTAGTAAGAATCACAATTAGGGCTGTAAAGTCTGAAATATAAGTAAGGCTACAGTAGTAAGAAGAATCATAACTGAGGCTGCATTGATACATTGATATGCTGCAGGTTTGGTCTATGGAGCAGCTATAGGTGATGCCATTGGTGTGTCCTGTCGATGGATGTCCGCTGATGAGTGCGCCTTTCATTATGGCTGTGGCGATGATCTTGTCTACAGCAACATAGTTCGAGATGAACATAGAGTTCTGTGGAGGCAGGGAGGCTGGACTTCCAATTTCGACCAGCTGGTGAGATTGGGTGTTGCTCCCTATATGAGAAACACTTTACAGTTGTTTTCTGTCTCTTTGATCTCCTCCCACCCCCCCCCCCTTCCCCCTTTATTTGTTTCTCTCTCATGTCCCTCTCACTATCTTTCTCGCTTGCTCCCTCTCTCACATTTTCTTCTTTCACTCTTCCTCTTTCTCTTTCCATCTCTCATGTTTCCTGTCTGTCATACCTCTCTGCCCTCTCACCCACCCTTTTTTCTCTTTCATTTCTCTCTTCCTCTCTCTATCTCTCGCCCCCCCCCCCCCCCCTCTCTCTCTCTCTCTCCCTCCCTCCCTTTTCTGATTCTTGAGTGTTTTGCTGTTTTCTGTATATTTGCCTTTCGTTATTTAATAAAGTTTTGGATAAATGATGTGGGTCGTTTATTTGTTTCATTTATTCTGTTACAGAACAAGTATATCTGCTGTACGTGTACAGGGTTCATGCATCTTCAGTAGACCTGCTGAGTGCCTCAAAATAATAGATTCTTGGGTATAACCTGTGCTAAGTCTCATCATATGACATTACCTTCAGTCTTATTTTCCTCAGTCTTACTGAGAGGAACACTTTGCATTGCCAGCGTCTAGTGTAACACGACTGAATAACTGATCTGATCATGTCATATATGTGTGCTGGGGCTGATGGAAAGATGTGTCTGTTTCAGATATTGGTGTGAGAGTCTTTGGTCAACTGGGCTGATGTAAAGACCTGTCTGTTTCAGATGGTGGTGTTGGATTTCTTGGTCAACTGGGCGGATGTAAAGGCGTGTCTGTTTCAGATGGTGGTGTTGGATTCCTTGGTCAACTGGGCTGATGTAAAAATGTGTCTGTTTCAGATGGTGGTGTTGGATTCCTTGGTCAACTGAACTGATGTAAAGGCGTATCTGTTTCAGATGGTGGTGTTGGATTCCTTGGTCAACTGAACTGATGTAAAGGCGTATCTGTTTCAGATGATGGTGTTGGATTCCTTGGTCAACTGGGCTGATGTAAAAATGTGTCTGTTTCAGATGGTGGTTTGAGAGTCTTTGGTCAACTGGGCTGATGTAAAAATGTGTCTGTTTCAGATGATGGTGTGAGAGTCTTTGGTCAACTGGGCTGATGTAAAGACCTGTCTGTTTCAGATGGTGGTGTTGGATTTCTTGGTCAACTGGGCGGATGTAAAGGCGTGTCTGTTTCAGATGGTGGTGTTGGATTCCTTGGTCAACTGGGCTGATGTAAAAATGTGTCTGTTTCAGATGATGGTGTGAGAGTCTTTGGTCAACTGGGCTGATGTAAAGACGTGTCTGTTTCAGATGGTGGTGTTGGAGTCCTTGGTCAACTGGGCTGGTGTAGTTGATGAGCTGGAGTTTGCTCGCAGGCTGAAAGTCTGGGCTCAACAGGGCTTTCCAGAACTCAGTGACATGCCAGGAGTTGTCACCAGTGAGACTGTCCGAAAGGTATTGTTGGACCTTGTTTAGATTCTTCCACTTTTTCACGTTCACCAGCTGTAAACTCTAGCAGAAAGTTCTGGTTGTTCGTCCATTTCTGTACTTAAGTTTTCTTCCAGCATGTGCATGCGCAGGCATACTTTACTGATCTGGCTTATTTGTATGCAAACTGTTGGTTCCTCATCCGTAATTGGTTGACATGTCATGTTTGTTGAAGGGCACAGTAGGTCTGTTCTTGTTCTTTCCCATACATTGGGGCCGTAAAACAAACATAAGGGACTTTGTTTGGTTTAATACGACCCTTTCCTTTTTGAAATTGAGAGATGTGGCGGTGTTAAACCATAGATGATGGGGCCCTATGACCAGGGCTGGTACAGGTCAGGTCCTGTCTAGATCTGTCTACAGTCTCCCTAGAAACAGGCAGCCTGTTGTGGGCCTGAACAATATAGATAAGGTCAGCGGTTTCTTTGAAGTTGGAGTGCATCTGCCTGGCAGGTGAGGTACCAACAGTCTGCACACAGATAAGCTACATCTGTGAACAGATGCGCACATAAAACTCAGGTCCTAGATTGAGACCCACGTCCAGAAATGGATGAATAACCGGAATTTTCAGACAGAGTTTACGGACGGTAAAGGAGTACCTGACTGAATGATTAGCATGCTGGGCTGTCAAGTGGAAAACCTGGCTTTGAATTTGCATTAAGGTTGGGGATTTTTTTTGTTGTTGTCGGGGGCAAAAATAAAATCCTTACCTGTACAGTCCATGGTGACAGCACTAGCCATGCGGCCCAAAATTCTCAAGCTCAGTACCCCCCCTACCCCTTTACCACTACCTGCCTACACCACAAGTGGCAAACACAGGCAGTAATGGCAGAAGATGAGGAAAATATTGTAATTGCTGTAGGTTTAGGATACATGTTCACTAGTGTGAGGTGCTTTCCAGCTTGTACACATTGTTGTAGAATCTGTCTTTAGCTTTTTTCAGATGTGGCTATATAGTCTATGCTTTGTGTCTTCTTCTACTTATTTAGCCCTAAAAGGTGTGATTGGATGTTGTATTATGGTTTAAAGCTAGCTGAAATATTTTTACCTCTTGGTCAATCATATTTGATTGCAGCAAGTCTGTGGTTCATTGCCTTTTATGTTATGTTTGTAAAATCCCAGTGGGGATCCCTTCCCTTCCCCCATTGTGGCACTGGGGCCCAGACAGGGATGTGTTCTGTTTGAAGTTAAAAGAGCATGACCTGTCCAGGTGTCTGCCCCATTTGCTGACCTCCTGTCTTTTTACATTCCCTACCGTGTGCTGTTAGCAGTAATATCTATACATGACTCATTTTGAGACTGGTCCTAGCTATTTATGCATTCCTAGAATAACTTTTGCCATGTCTTAAACTGTGACGCTGATTGGAGGATTTCAATTTGTTTGGCGCTCTTTTGTGACATCTCTTGACATCTTTCTTCCACTTAAATCTTATGAATTATTCAAGTAACAGAAAATGTATTGATCGGCACTCATAGAAAGAAGTAGATAGATAGAAGAACACTTAAATCTTAGTAGTTTATTATCATTTAAAATAAACTCCCCTCCTTTAAGGCGGGCAATTCAGATGGAAATTCAAATCCATTATGTGACAGTACAGTTGTTTACTCCAACAACAGGAGTGGGGTGGGGGGTCTCTGGTCTGAGGTCAAGCCATTTACCTTACACTCAATGAAGGTGATGGGTTTTTTTCATAGATGCGCCATTCTGTTTACACATTCACTTTTTACTGAGATCCAGGAATCATCATTACAGCTACAGAGGTTCATGTTTTGTGTGTGACTGTCTTGACAGGTGGCTTGCCGTTCTATTGAGAGAGGCCGAGCTGAATGGGATAACACCTGGGGCAATGATCTTCATCCCCTGGCCTGCAGCTCAAACTAAATTTCAGCAGCAATTAACGTCAGCAGTCTTCTTTGAAATATAAATCCCCATTCTTCGGTCAAGTTTCTCTGCTGCATATCCTTGATGATTGACCTCTTTGAAATATAAATCCCAATTCTTCGGTCAAGTTTCTCTGCTGCATATCCTTGATGATTGACCTCTTTGAAATATAAATCCCCATTCTTCGGTCAAGTTTCTCTGCTGCATATCCTTGATGATTGACCTCTTTGAAATATAAATCCCAATTCTTCGGTCAAGTTTCTCTGCTGCATATCCTTGATGATTGACCTCTTTGAAATATAAATCCCAATTCTTCGGTCAAGTTTCTCTGCTGCATATCCTTGGTGATTGACCTCTTTGAAATATAAATCCCAATTCTTCGGTCAAGTTTCTCTGCTGCATATCCTTGGTGATCGACCTCTTTGAAATATAAATCCCCATTCTTCGGTCAAGTTTCTCTGCTTCATATCCTTGGTGCTTGACCTCTTTGAAATATAAATCCCCATTCTTCAGTCAAGTTTCTCTGCTGCATATCCTTGGTGCTTGACCTCTTTGAAATATAAATCCCCATTCTTCCGTCAAGTTTCTCTGCTGCATATCCTTGGTGATTGACCTCTTTGAAATATAAATCCCCATTCTTCCGTCAAGTTTCTCTGCTGCATATCTTTGGTGATTGACCTCTTTGAAATATAAATCCCCATTCTTAGGTCAAGTTTCTCTGCTGCATATCCTTGGTGATTGACTTCTTTGAAATATAAATCCCCATTCTTCCATCAAGTTTCTCTTCTAGATATCCTTGGTGATTGACTTCTTTGAAACATAAATCCCTATTCTTCTGTCAAGTTTCTCTTCTACATATCATTGTTGATTTACCTTTTTAATATTTAAATCCCCATTCTTCTATCAAGCTTCTCTGCTACATATCCTTGTTGATTGACCTCTTCCTTGTGCAAGTTTTTATCTTAGGACTCTGGCCAACAACCAGTCTTAGAGAAGTCTTCAAGCTGTTCCACCCTGGCCTCGGTCTGTTTGAGAGATGAGTCCATGTTGTCAATAATTTTTGTTCATCAAGTTTCCTGTGTATTGTTCTGATCATGCTGATGTTGCCTCCAACCTGCAGGTTGTTGCCCACCCAGCATTTTGTACAGATCCACACAGAGCATCAAAGGAAGTTCTTCATGACAACAAAGTTGTAAAGAATGGGGTGTTATCTTCCCGTACTGTTGCTGGCGTTCCACAACCACCATCACATCCCTCGCCCACAGACAGCTCATGTCCATTATCAAGCCCATCAGTCACGGCTCAACACTGTATCTATATTGCTCCCAGACAAGAGTTTGGAGAAGACAATGGAGCAGCTGTCAGAACAGCAATTTTAGGTAGCTGATGTTTCATTCATTTAAAATGGGTTTTAAGATGAGAGGGATCTGCTGTATTGCACATTTTGTATAACTCAGTCTCTCTGTCTCTATCTCTCTGTCACTCTCTCTCTCTCTCTCTCTCTCTCTCTCTCTCTCTCTCTATCCCCCTCTCTCTGTCTCTCTCTCTTCCCTTTCTCTCTCTGTCTCTTTGTCTCCCCTTTCTCTCTCTCTCATTTCTCTCTATCTGTGGCATGGCTAGCCACCTTCAGTGAGACTGAGACAAAGTATGAACTCCTTGGTTCTTTTTTAACTGTTCCTGTCTTGTGTGGAGATCTGCTTTGTGTAACTAGGTGTTACAGTTTAACATGCATGGGTAAAGCTAGGGCATGTTCAGTTGCTGGAGGTGTTGTGAAGTCTTTTACTCCATCAGTCCATTTCTTCCAGGTTGAATTTGCCTCTTACAGTCAAGTAAAGGACCCTTTTCCATGCCTTTAGGCTGTTGGGCATATAGGGCTAGACCTATGTTTATAGACCAAACCGCACTTGGAGTGATGGGGTCAGCATCACGGAGGCCGCCTTTATTTCCCAGGACTGCACTTGGTACCCCTTCAAGGCTCGTTTGACCTGGTATTTTTTTTTTAAGTCGGCTCAATAAGGACCTTCCAATCCGCAGGAAGGCATCTAGCCGCTACACGACAGCAACTACCTTAAAGCCGTCTACAACAGGTGGTGTTCCCAAGCGGTCTCTCATCCAAGTACTAGCTACGCCCGACGTTGCTTAACTTTTTCAACATGAGCACATCCTTCCTGAAGAAATAGTATTGGCTGTATGACATGTAAAATAACAAATTAAAGATAAATGAGTTCAGAATAAATCTAAACTATTTAAATATCAGTAATACAACAAAATGTTATTAAAATCACACAACATTCAAGGATTTTAGACCCATATGAAGATTATTGACATAAAAATGTGTGTGTTTACCTTACTCTTTTACTTGTTCATTAACACTGCTATCTAATTCTAAGAATGCACATGCCTTCTCTGTTCAATTATTATTAGCTAGTCTTTATTTGAGACAGTTAATTTAAATACTTTGGATGTTATGATCATTTCGGTATGACATGTCAAATTTCACAACAACATAAAATCGGTAAAACAGCTGATCGAAACATTGATCCGATTGAAATATTTTGTTAAATTCTCATAACCTAAATTATCGCCAGTAAGTTTGTCACTTAGATATCAATCATAATATCAAGACTGTTGTCACCATCTGGTAGAGATTCATCAACGACACAGCACTATGAACAGTTCTAGACCTTTTCCGTTATCTTCTTCTTCTTCTTCGCATTAACCAGCTGTAAACTGTGGTGGAAAGTTCTGGTTGTTCATCCACTTCTGGATTGCAGTCCTGTTGCAGAACCTGAGTGTTGCGTATGCATCCGTTTTACAGATCTGACTCATTTTTATGCAGACTGCTGGCTCCTTGCCTCTCAGGCAGATGTAATCCGACTTTGAAGGAAGCTCCCAATTAGTCGACTCTTACAACATACTTTTGGGTAGGCAGTGGGTCTGTTCTTGTTTTTCCCTAAAACAGGGCCCCGGAACCCACACAAGGATTTTTCCCTTATCATTTAGTAGAGAAAAATCATGTAAAAATTGTATCCCATCTAAATAATTTGTTACAAATCAGAAAATAATGCACCGACCATGATGATTTTCGCAAATGAAAGGACTTTCTGTTGTTAATCCTAATTGTTCAAAACCTCTTTCATAAAAGTTTGTTTTCCCCACAAACGGAAAAAAAGTTAGTGTCTCTATGATATGCCAGTATACTAGTGATTAGTGCAATATTTGATAATTCATTCACCAGTATACTGGCAAAAAGTCTTTAAAGAGTTAACTTCACTGATCGGACGAGAAATGGTGTTTTCAGTGTATAGTCGTGGCATGATAGACGTGTTGTTTGATGTGTGCTGACTTACCAGTGAATCTTGTCTGACACACAGTGTCTGTGTTGACTTGCCAGTGACACATGTTTGACACACAATTTATGTGCCAACCAAACATTGACTCATGACTGACACACAATTTCTGAGCCAATCTGCGATTGTCACATGTCTGACACACAGTGTCTGTGCTGACTTGTCACTTACACATTCAACACAGTGTCTGTGGAAACTTGCTATTGACGCTTGCTATTGACGCCTGACTGACACGATCTCATTGCCAACTTGTCATTGACACATAACTGACACACAGTCTTTGTGCCGACTTGCCATTGTCACCTGTCTGAAACTATCTGTTTTTGCTGTGTGTTGTGTCAGGGGTGCCCAACTTTCACCAGTTTGGGGAGGTGGAGAGTAACGCTATCAGGATCTGTCAGACGACACACTCAGACAGCAGGTGTACTGCCAGTTGTGTCTTTATATCCTTGCTGATATCACTGCTGTTGCAGGTGAGTCTTGTGTACCAGTTATCACTTTGTATCCCTAGTTTTGTATGTAGTAAGAGCTGTGGTATCATTGTTTAAGGTGAACCCTTTCATCCCATAAAAATCTTTTTTTTTTTAAATGAAACATTTTTGAAATTTCGTTTTTAAAAGCAACATATTCTCTGGAATTCCACATTAAGAAACGAAAGGAGATGATGAAGCAGGAGAAATGTGGAGTCTTGGTCCCTTTCTATAAATATCCAAGGGGTTTAACACCTAGACCATAGAGCAGGCGGGTATCAAGTCTGCTGCTTATCTGACATCACCTCGCTTGTAAGTTAATTATATTTTCAAATCCCCAATTTTAACAATTGGGAGCTGGTTTATTCCCTCATAAAGAGAAATATTCACTATATAAATGGAGCAGAGAATTAACTGATTCCTTCCCTTTGACCATTTAGAAACAGATTTGATCACTTTGCTATGGATAGAAATGTGATGCAGTAATGGAGTTATAAAATGTGTTTTTTTTAATTCTTTGTTTTTCCATCCCATATAAAGTTGCTGTGGTTTTTTTTTTTTTTTTTCAATTGGGGAAACAAGTGGGTGGTTTTGTATATTTTTGTTGTCTAATTATGACAAATAAAGTGAAGAACCCCTTTCTCTGCATTGACACCATTGTTATACGGTATCTGGGCCATATTTTCATGCACTCCTTCACAACCAGACAAGTCACCATATGTTTCTTGGTCATTCCACAGATAACCTGATGTATAGTACATTTAACATCTCATGAACGCACTTGCTGGCCATTTTCTCAAAAACTGCCGGTTAGATTGCACGATTTTTTGCATACAGCCTTAGAATATTCATGACGCAAAAATAATGGTATTTTTTAGGCCATAGATGCTCAGGATGCTAAATACCAGCCAATTCCTTTGATCTTTTCGAACCGTTGTAAGTTAATTTGAATTTCCGGTTCTTTTTTTTTCATAGGTGTATCTTCATAATACATTGATAAGTGAAATAAATGTATTTGTTGTCGTTTATGTTCAACTGAGTTGAGTTGACCTGACTCAAGAAAGACATCACAGCACTCGGGGGTATTCCCATATGCTCTCCATCCCCATCTTCAGCCACCAGCGCTGAGTTCCAATACTAATGGTGCCGAACAGAGTCTGATTATATGTCATCTTGCCATTCCTCTGAGTGTAGTGTGCCGGCCAGGCTCTCTGGTTACACCCAGGTGTATCATTGTCTCCAGGCCAAGATAATCTATTTTCTCTTCTGACTTCATTGCTTGTTTCCAAAGAGCCTTGACCACATCTGCCTTGTTATGTATCAGCTCACCACCCAGTGGTGCAGATCCAGCCAATCTGTCCGCCTTGTTAATTGTAAACATGTCTCCAATATGCAACAGTTAGTATTCAACTTCGGTCATCATTAGACCCCAGGGCGTATCTTAACTGCACAGCAAATTGTATTATGGTTGACACATTTGGATTTTGGATAGGGAGATGTATTTGTTGCAATTATAGATGAACCTAACGGGTTGATGATATTCAGCCACTCGTTGAAAAAATGCTTTTAATCATTCCGAATCTGACCATCCCAAAAAATTGATAATTGTTACTGGCTGAACAAATTGTAATCCATCTCGGTGCCAGTACTCTTCTTCCTCTCGGAGCACATGCTCAATACACTTTTTCCAGAAAATAAATGTCTATTTTTTTAGAAGGACTCACGTGCCAGATCTTCAACATCACACATTTTAAATATACTATTCTTTTCGGCAATTTATCTTTTGACTGTGGTCCAAACAAACTCATCGAATTGAGGTCTGAATGATATGCAGGAAATGGCAGAGAAGTGTGGCCGTATTCATTAACCGTTTTGTCAGTGTCGTACACCTTTGTCATATTTGTTTTCTTCAAGAGCTGCAACAATTCTGCCTTCAAACATGTAGCATCAAAGTTGACTTTTTCCTTAGCAAGCCGTGTCCTAATTTGATCTTTTGTATTTAATCTCATTGGTACTTTGTCTTTCTCTGATACGGCATTATGATATTTTTAGTGCATGAAAATAAGTCTTTTCATTTCAGTGTGGTAGTCCCTACCATCCTTACTTTTTGATTGAAAAATAAGTCCAGAATCATGAATAAGGCTTTTTTCACTGCTTCCTGCATACATGAGTATAATCCGCTGGTCTTTGCTGCTTGGAATGTTCCTTTACTGTTCACCGTTTATTGATTGTCATTCTTTAGCATAGGTATGGTGGGCATTAACCCAGGATTCATCCAAATATACACTATCATAACCTTGCATTTGTAGCTCATGGATCTGCCTCAGGCATTTGCTTCAACAAGCAGTCAAATGTGGCTTTTCACAAATAATATTTCTTCTTCCTACAGTTTTCTTGAAAGTGAACCCGGTGGTTCTTACAATTTTCCACTGACAACACTTTTTGAAATGTCACTACTGCATTGTGATTTCTATGCTAATTTCAGTTTTTGAAGAGCGACAAGTTAATTTGTCTCCAACACATTTTAAAGATCTCACATCTAATGACATCTACATCAAAGTCGCCAACTTTAATTTGCCTTTCTTGCTTGACATGAGCGTACTCTGTGTCCTGTCTAATCCAACGGTTAAATGATGCTCTATCCAGACCAAGCGCCAATCATATTCGTTTCTCTGGGTGATGAATATCACAATATAAATGACCCATCTTAGATTCCCAGAGGAAGTGCTGGTACAGTAAAACGGTAACCTTCTGCATAGTTATACATTTGCATCCCAAATTCATTTTGCAAACTGATGTCTGTGTCAGCTTTTATAAGCTACCTGTATGACACCATAACTCAACACTAATTTGTGAATACCCCTTTGACTAAACAACCTTGACCGACGTTTTATTTCGGCGTCAGGTCACTAAGAGTGCGACTTTGCATGAGAAAATCATGAAATTACATTGTTTTTCTTTGACCCACTGTTAAACCCAGTCATAGTGTGCATTACTTCCTAGAATTAATAAAAGTAAACCTTTCAAAAGTCTACCAAGACAGTTTCCTGATAAACATATATATCATAGAAAAAAAAAACAACTACACATGATATTCTTCTTTAGTGAAAAAATATTTCATTAACATCTTTGATATTTTAAGGTTGCATGCAAAAAATTGTTGCGATCTAACAGGCAGTTTTCGAGAAAATGGCTTGCAAGTGTTTTCCTGAGATATTGAATGATAGCTGCTATCCTCCCTTACAGTCAGTCAGGTTTTTAGCCTTTGTATTTAAATGAATAATTGACCTACTACTGTCCCCCAGACTTTCTGTTGAACTGCTTAAGACCTATGAATTGATTTCTTTTAAGTGCAACTTCCCAGGGTACTAGATGTTAATGTAGCAAAGGATTGGAACCGAAAGATTCAGTTGCAGATGAAATTGGGTACCAATTTGTCTATAAACAAATGGGTTGTGGTATAGCCGCTAGACACTTACCTGCAGCAGATCCAAAGGTCATAAGTTCAAACCACTAATGACATAGACTCACAGGATGACCCAGTCTTAAATGGGTACTAGATAAACTAAATTGGAAGTAAAGGCAGCCAATATGGATGGTATCAAATACATGATGTTTCGATAACTTAATAAGTGTCATTTACTTACTATCAGTTTGCTTTGCAAGGTGCAGTGTTTGGAATTTCTTGTTTTGAGAAAATTCTTGACAACCTTTTGTCATGGCACAGAGGGGTGTCAACACATGAACTTATACACACAGTTGCAGATCATAGTTTGTGGAGGGGTGTCAACACATGAACTTATGTACACACAGTTGCAGATCATAGTTTGTGGAGAGGCATGATTTTCAACGCCATTGGCAATGTACTTGATGAGGATGATAATGATGATTTGCTGTTTCTTTTGTTGGAACCCCACCCACTTTATTTGTAATACAGTAAAATCTCAGTAATATGTACTTGCTTAAGAAAAACACTGGGCTGACGTTAATAAAATTGTTGTCCCAGGAGGGGTGTATTAATTTGGGTCCTAGTTAGCATACATTTGTTTAAATTTATATAAAGTCTTGATTTTTTAACCCCTTGGAATTGGTGGTAATGAAGTCTTACTCATATGTCGGCCAAAAAGGCAGAAATATCACAGCCGTGCTGTAAACGGGCGCAACACATTGACATCTTCAGATGAAGGTAGAAGAAGAAGATTTCATCTTGTCAAGTCTTGCTCATTTCAGGGCAGCCTGATTGGCTTTGAGGCTGGGGACAGAGATGTCACTGAGGACCATCTGGAAACAGCTTTCCAAAGAGCAGCTGTGCATTTGAAGGATGAAGCTGAGAGAAAGGAATTTCTGGCTTTGAAAAAGTTCTGCTCACTTCAGAGGTATGTTTTGTCAAACTTGTTCACTTCAGAGGTATATTTTATCAAACTTGTTCACTTCAGAGGTATGTTTTGTCAAACTTGTTCACTTCAGAGGTATGTTTTGTCAAATTTGATCACCTCAGAGGTATGTTTTGTCAAACTTGTTCACTTCAGAGGTACGTTTTGTCAAACTTTTGTTGTTGTTGTTGTTGTAACCTTCCTTAGCTTCTCTTGTAAAAATTATTTACCTTACTTAACTTTTCTTGTAAATGGCCTATAGCTACCTGAAGTTTTCTTGTGAATGTTCTGTAGCTACCTGAAGTTTTCTTGTGAATGTTCTATAGCTACCTGAAGTTTTCTTTTCAAATTTGTGTCCCTTTCTAGTGTGTTTTCTTTGTGTCTTTCTTTTTTTTTCTCTTTTTCTGTTCGTTATTTTATCGTCTCCCTGATACCAGGTTGTATCCCAGATGTGTGGTTTTCTGTATTTCTCTTGCACTTCTCATGTGACTTGGGCGGTGGTTCTGTTAATCTTTTTTGCAGGTATCCATCTCTTTCTTGGTCTTCCTCTTACCTTCCTCCCAGATAACTGAACCATTTAATCCTTTGTCTAATTCCAGCTTTCTCTCTAATGCTGTCCCTTCTTATGGTTTCTCCTACCCCCCCCCCCCCCCTTTTTCCCCCCTTTTATTTTTTTTATATTTATAACTTGTAGGAGTTGTATATAAACTGCTTTTGATATTCAGTAGTGAATGGTGAACAGTCAACAGAACAGTCAGAAATTACAGGCTTTAGAAATGTGATTGTTTAGGAGACTGTCAAGAACACCTTGGACAAAAGAACAAAAGAGACTTGGAGACATATTGACAGACAGCAGCTGATGAAGAGAATTGGCCACTCATCACAGAAGAAGACTATCTACACTGTTTGAACACTTTAGTAGAAGATGTCAGCTGAAAAATATTGTTACAGCAGGAAAGTTGAAAGGAAAGAGAGGCAAGGGAAGATCTAGGGCAGTGTCTCCCATTTGCTGATCTACAGACTCCCAGAGTCTGTGGAACACAAAGGGTCTGTGAAATCACTTTACTGTTTGTCTGTCTTTTGGTATCTCTGTATGTGTCTGTTCTAGTATCAGTGACTGTCTTCAAGTGTTAGCATTTGTCTGACTTCTAGTGTCATTATTTTTCCCTCTTTGAGTGTCAGTGTTTGCCTCCTAATATCAGTATTTGTCAATCTTTAGTGCCAGTGTTGTCAGCGTCGGTGGCTTAGGCATTGCGAACGGGCTTCGTAATGTAGGGGTGCCGGGTTCGATCCCTGCTGCGGACAGTTTGTCTTTTGATGTTTGACGTGGTACCGAGAGCCGACCGTTTAGCAGTGGCAAACCACTAGACGTAAATTTGTCTAGAAAAACCACAACAGCCTGAAAGTGCTGGGGTTGGTTCTGCAATGTCCTGTAAAGGATACGTAACTAATTTAAATTTATTACCAGTGTTTTCCTCCTAATACCAGTATTTGTCAGGGTTTTTTTCCAGTGTTTGCATCCTAATATCAGTATTTGTCCATCTTCTAGTGTCACTGAATGCCTCCTGATATTAATATTTGTCTGTCTGCTAGTATCAATGCTAGAGAAGCCTTTGGCATGAGTCACACATACATGCCAGTGAAAGCAGCTGTGGCAGCCCTGTACTGGAAGGATGACTTCAGGTGAGTCCCTGCTGTCTCTGATTATTACCACAACTCGGTTTGAGATCTGTGTTCATTGACCCCCCCACCCCCATTTTTTTTTTTTCCACCTGCCGCCCCCATCTTGGCCTACACCAGAAGATTCGTTAGCCATGTGCTTAAAAGAGTTTTATCCTGGATGGCAAATCTCAAATACCCCATTCAACTTCCAGGATCCCCGTGTGGGTTCCGGGGCCCCATTGTGGGGAAAACAAGAATAGACTCACTGCCTCCCCGAAAGCATGTCGTAAGAGTCGACTAATTGGGGAGCTTCCTTTGAAGTCGGAGTGCATCTGCCGGAGAGGCAAGGAACCGACAGTCTGTATTCAAAAGAATGAGATCTGTAAAGCTGATGCACACGCAACACTCAGGTTCTGGAACAGGACTGCAGTTCAGTAGTGGACGAGCAACCAGAACCTTCCGCCAGAGTGTACAGCTGGTGAACGCGAAGAAGAAGAAGAACTTCCAGGAAATTTATAAAAAGGTTACAACCACACCCCCCCCCCCCCCTTTCCCATGTTTCCCCTTTGTCCTGGACAGTTTGTGGTTGTTGCTTAACTGGCAACCAACATCAAGAGGATTCTTGATTTTTTTCTGTCTCCACATGTGAAGAGTGTCATCCTCAGCAGGTTTTGTCACAGTTGTGACTGAACCTTGGGAAGCCAAGAAGAATTTACCCACCCCATCTCAGTGCCATATGTCATCTGATAGGGCATGGCCGGTCTCTTTCCATTGGCTAGGAGGGCTCATATGCAGCATTCTGAAGAGAGTCATTGGCCGCCACCAATCCTAGCTGTTTGTTTCCTCATAGACCTTAAGATTAGATCAGTGAGTCAACTGGTTTAGCTACAGGAATGATTAGATATGTACTTAGGGTCATGTTCATTATAATGGGTCATGTTCATACATAATGGATCGGGTTCATAATAATGGGGCAGGTTTATAATAGTGGGTCATGTTTGTACATAATGGATCGGGTTCATAATAATGGGTCAGATTCATAATCAAGGGTGAGGTTTATAATAAGGGGTCATGTTCATGGTAATGGATCATGTTCATACATAATGGGTCATGTTCATAATAATAGGTAAAACTCATAATCATGGGTCAGGTTAATAATAATGGGTCAGGTTTATACTTAATGGGTCAGGTTCATAATAATAAGTCAAACTCATAATCATGGGTCAGGTTTATAATAATGGATCATGTTCATACATAATGTTTTATGTTCATAATAATAGGTCAAACTCATCATCGCGAGTCAGCTTTATAATAATGGTCAGCTGGTGAATAATGAGATGTTGATACATAATAAGTGACTTTGACGATGTTGTTTGCAAGTGAGACTGTCTCTGACATGAGAGGTGAACTGACAACTTCTGCTTGCTGCAGGTCTTTCATCACTGCTCTGGCAAAGCTGGGAGGGGACAGCAGCAGCAACGCATGTGTGGCTGGAGCTGTGCTGGGGTGCTGCTGGGGATACAGCCGCCTGCCTCGGGTGTGGGTGGATGAGCTTCCCAGACATCATGTCCATTGGTTAAACAGCCGGATTAACCACTTGCTGGACATTATGGGCTCTCCTTAACTTGTAAGGAGGGTGGGCTTGTTATAATGAGAAGTACTGAGAGCACAGTGCCTCTGTGTGTATATATGTAAGGAGTGCACAGTGTCTGTGTGTGTGAGTGTGTGTGTATGTGTAAGGAGAACGAGAGAGAGAGAGATATATTTAGAACTAAAGTATTTTTGAGGAGAAATAGAATGTAGGAGAGTGTGTTATCAAAGGAGTAAGAATAGTGTGAAAGAGAGAGATTGAGAATGAAAGTGTTAGTGAAAGGAAAGTTTATTAGAAGTTGAAGGTGCATGAAATAAATTGAGTAAGGAAAAAGAATGATAGAAAAGAGCACTTTTGTATGGGTTAAAAATTATATGTGAGCAAAAGCATATAAGGGGGAAAATGCTTCTTCTAAAGGAATTTATCTAAGGGAATGAGTATGTAACAGAATATTTGTGAATGAGAAAGTATCTAATGGAGATCACGTGTCACATATAGAAATACAGAAAATGTGTGTGAAGGAGAGACTCGGTGAAGGAGAGACTCGGTGAAGGAGAGACTTGGTGAAGGAGAGACTCAGGGAAGGAGAGACTCAGGGAAGGAGAGACTCGGTGAAGGAGAGACTCGGTGAAGGAGAGACTCGGTGAAGGAGAGACTCAGGGAAGGAGAGACTCGGTGAAGGAGAGACTCGGTGAAGGAGAGACTTGGTGAAGGAGATACTCGGTGAAGGAGAGACTCGGGGAAGGAGAGACTCGGTGAAGGAGAGACTCGGGAAAGGAGAGACTCGGGAAAGGAGAGACTCGGGAAAGGAGAGACTCGGGGAAGGAGAGACTCGGTGAAGGAGACACTCGGGGAAGGAGAGACTCAGGGAAGGAGAGACTTAGCGAAGGAGAGAGACAAGTGCAGAGCTTCATGTCTCCACTGGCAGACACTAAGGTTGATCTGACTACCGAGACGTAGTAGATCTTCTTCACTCTTGCTGATTGTATGATGTGTCCCACTTTAATCAAACCGAAATTTAGCTGGTGAAACTTGAGAGATTTGCTGTTATTATATATTTATTTTAAGTGCAGTTGGTGAAACTTGATAAATTTGTGTCATAATTATGTGTCTTTTTTAAATGCAGTTGGTGAAACTTGATAAATTTGTGTCATAATTATGTGTCTTTTTTAAATGCAGTTGGTGAAACTTGATTGTGAATACTTGCCATTACGTACTTGATTTCGAAAGAATTGCACAGGACAGGATAAAGAAGAAATAGACCGGAAGCCTTAGATGAGGTATAAATAGCACAATTGGAGAATGATATTTATAGACACAGACACATACACATGTGTACGCGCACTCACACACTCATGCACACAATGTGGGCTGGTCACCTAGAACTCACTTGTAACTCATGGCTAGGCACTGAAAACTGCTGCACCCCCAGTTTTCATTTGATGTTTTGGTCACAAGCCACCGCAGCCTGGACTTAAACACAAGCCACCTCTGCCTGTACTTGAACACAAGCCACCACTTGAATACAGCTATGTTCTAACACAAGAACTGCTCAAGATTGGAGATGGGACATAAGGCTTCCACTTGATTCTGTGAGAGTGACAAAAGTAGAACATCTGTGATAATTATTGTGTTCAGAAAGGGGGTGTGACATCTGGTTCGTTCTATAGAGTGTTACGATAGCCCAGAAGGCTAACCTGGGGCAACAAATTCCTGCAAAAGTTAGATGTGTCGGCTGAAAGCCGCAAGTATTGCAGCCATGCTGTAAACGCATTTACATTTTCAGAAGAACGCAGAAGAAGATGTAGTTTATTATTGGAAGTGAGGCATTAAGTTTATTATATTGTTGAAAATCAAACTATGCATTTGTTTGTGTTTTTGGCTGTGATATTTAGTGAACATTATGAAATTTGTTTTGTCAGCTTTTCTTTGCTAGGTATTGGTTCACTTGTTGGAGGTGGTGTGTGTTTTATCGCTGCCTGATATCGAGATATTTTAGGGGCTAATGTTGCAAGCAGATAACAGAGTCAAGGGTCCTTCTCACATCATACATATAGTTCATTTGTTCATTCAGTCATTGTCCTGTTGTGCCATTATTTGTCACATAGGGCTCGCATTTATTTCTCCATTCCATTTTATTGTGCAGTCACAATGATATCATGGATGGAATTCAGTCAAACACCTTTGACCTCTCTCATTAAAATTTGCCTTTGACCTCTGTCGTTAACATTTATCTTAGGTTTCTCTTCAATGTCCTCATTTCCTCAAGCCCTCTGTTTCTCAGTTCACTGCCTGTTTGGTGTTTCTCTATTCTTCTCTTAGAATGTATCCAATATAAAATGTGTACAGTATAGAATGTGCCCAGTATAGAATGTGTCCAATATAGAATGTGTCCAGTATAGAATGTGTCCAGTATAGAATGTGTCCAGTATTGAATGTGTCCAGTATAGAATGTGTCCAATATAGAATGTGTCCAGTATAGAATGTGTCCAGTGTAGAAAATGTCCAGTATAGAATGTGTCCAGTGTAGAATGTGGCCAGTGTAGAATGTGTCCAGTATAGAATGTGTCCAGTGTAGAAAATGTCCAGTGTAGAATGTGTCCAGTGTAGAATGTGGCCAGTGTAGAATGTGTCCAGTATAAAATGTGTCCAGTACAGAATATGTTCAGTACAGAATGTGTCCCGTATAGAATGTGTTCAATATAGAATTTGTTCAGTATAGAATGTGTCCAGTATAGACTGTGTCCAGTGTAGAATATGTCTAGTGTAGAATGTATCCAGTATAGAATGTGTCCAGTATAGAATGTGTCCAGTATAGAATGTGTCTAGTATAGAATGTGTCCCGTATAGAATGTGTTCAATATAGAATGTGTTCAGTATAGAATGTGTCCAGTATAGTCTGTGTCCAGTGTAGAATATGTCCAGTGTAGAATGTATCCAGTATAGAATGTGTCCAGTATAGAATGTGTCCAGTATACAATGTGTCCAGTATAGAATGTGTCCAGTGTAGAATAAATATATCTAGTATAGAATATGTCCAGTGTAGAATAAATATATCCAGTATAGAATGTGTCCAGTGTAGAATAAATATATCCAGTATAGAATGTGTCCAGTGTAGAATAAATATATCCAGTATAGTATGTGTCCAGTGTAGAATAAATATATCCAGTATAGAATGTGTCCAGTGTAGAATATGTCCAGTATAGAGTGTGTCCAGTGTAGAATATGTCCAGTATAGAATGTGTCCAGTGTAGAATATGTCCAGTATAGAGTGTGTCCAGTATGACGCAGTCTTCTCTGTCTTACAACTGTTGTTACCAGTGGTTGCCCGGACATTTCTCTCATTTCTTCACACCCTCTTGAATTCATCCCGTTTGGTGTTCACTATTTTCCTCAGGCATTTCTTTTCAAATGCATTAAACTTGTGTTCCATGTCTTAAGTGGTTCTCTAACTTTGACTTGCGTATGTTAAAACTACAATAACATATAATGCTAGTCATATTTGTATTGACAAATCTGTACTTGATGAGTTATGTTGCCAGCCACTTTTATTTCTCACCTTCTTGGGATAACTGCTAGCACGTGGTAGATAATTATATGCCTACCCTGATGGACATTTTGTATGTGGTTCCCCCTGAAATGATCTGCTGGTTTTCCTTACCCTGATGGACATTTTGTATGTGGTTCCCCTGAAATGATCTGCTGGTTTTCCTTACCCTGATGGACATTTTGTATGGGGTTTCCCTGAAATGATCTGCTGGTTCTCCTTACCCTGATGGGCATTTTGTATGTGGTTCCCCTGAAATGATCCTCTGGTTTTCCTTACCCTGATGGACATTTTGTATGTGGTTCCCCTGAAATGATCCTCTGGTTTTCCTTACTCTGATGGGCATTTTGTATGTGGTTTCCCTGAAATGATCTGCTGGTTTTCCTTACCCTGATAGACATTTTGTATGTGGTTCCCCTGAAATGATCCTCTGGTTTTCCTTACTTTGATGGGCATTTTGTATGTGGTTTCCCTGAAATGATCTGCTGGTTTTCCTTACCCTGATGGACATTTTGTATGTGGTTCCCCTGAAATGATCTGCTGGTTTTCCTTACTCTGATGGACATTTTGTATGTGGTTTCCCTGAAATGATCTGCTGGTTCTCCTTACCCTGATGGACATTTTGTATGTGGTTCCCCTGAAATGATCTGCTGGTTCTCCTTACCCTGATGGACATTTTGTATGTGGTTCCCCTGAAATGATCTGCTGGTTTTCCTTACCCTGATGGACATTTTGTATGTGGTTTCCCTGAAATGATCTGCTGGTTCTCCTTACCCTGATGGACATTTTGTATGTGATTCCCCTGAAATGATCTGCTGGTTTTCCTTACCCTGATGGACATTTTGTATGTGGTTTCCCTGAAATGATCTGCTGGTTCTCCTTACCCTGATGGGCATTTTGTATGTGGTTCCCCTGAAATGATCCTCTGGTTTTCCTTACCCTGATGGACATTTTGTATGTGGTTTCCCTGAAATGATCCTCTGGTTCTCCTTACCCTGATGGACATTTTGTATGTGGTTCCCCTGAAATGATCTGCTGGTTCTCCTTACTCTGATGGACATTTTGTATGTGGTTCCCCTGAAATGATCTGCTGGTTCTCCTTACTCTGATGGACATTTTGTATGTGGTTTCCCTGAAATGATCTGCTGGTTTTCCTTACCCTGATGGACATTTTGTATGTGGTTTCCCTGAAATGATCTGCTGGTTTTCCTTACCCTGATGTTCTAGGTTACCTGTCCTAACCATTAAATCAAATAGCCTGCTCGATTCTGATGATGATTACTGTTGATGAAATAGTCAGTCTGTGTTATTTGTAACAATTGTCTTCCCTTTCAACTCTTGTACCAGTTTACTTGTTGACTTCTTGTGTATAGCAAATACTGATATGGATTTTGTCTGGATAGTTAAGACAAATGTTTTTATTTTCATATCCTCTTGTTTTTTTTTTTATCCCTGCCAGCATCCTAGCACAGGGGTCACCAAACTA